AAAAAAAAAAAAAAAAAAAAAAAAAAAAATTAATGCGCAAAGTCACGCCCTAAAGTTACGCTTCAACAATTGTCAAGATTTTTCTCTTCCCTGTATAGTCTTATAAACAATTAGAACGACTAAAATGTACGTGATTCCTAATTTATCGAATTGTAAGTGCAGAGCTCAGCAATTAATTAATCACAGACGGAAAATATCTTTCTACACTTTAATGCCAGATCACAAACTCAAAATCCCACTTTGATACAATTTCAGGTGATGCCTGATACTCATGGTACTTTAATTTCTGAATAAAGTAAGTAGCCAGCAGAAAACAGAAAAAATGAAGGAGAGTACCTTTATAGGGAAAATATGGACGATCTATCCCTGATTGGCTCAGGCATCATTGATTTCATGAGGCTGTCTATGATGTAAAAGATAGCGAACATCGCATGCAGATGATCAATGATGACAAAAATCAGGGTATTGTATGCTTGTATTGCCGTGAATTTTGAAGCGTATTTGCTCGATGCTGAAACCAATTTTGTTAATTATCTTGGCAAACATCTTTTCAATAATCTTTACTCCGGGGAGGTTGGAAACAAATGTAGCAGAGGACATCCCTCGAAAGTTAGGAACCACCTCCCCCCATCTAAAGTTACTGATAATTTTTTTTATCCTTAGGGCTCTCCAGGAGAGGTCATATTCTCCTTGGAAGGGCACTCCGGTTATAAACCCTGAGGTTCTTTTTCCAAGATACCATCATCCAAACATACCTCTCGAGCGCCTACCCAGCAATGGTGAGCGAAGAGATAGATAAGTGCAGTAAAAGTTGAATATCTCGGTGACCTGCGGCCCAAAAAAAGCTGTTGCTTTTTTCAAAGCTAGTAGTATATAACCAGTAAAGCACATTTTAGGCTTGCTTTATCCGTCTAGCCAAAATTGATACAGTTGAACGATTAAAAGCGGAAAAGATGCCTGGACGACTTTCCAAGCGATGACCACATAGAGGTGGCTCTCATCACCAGAAGATAACTAAACGTGTTTTCCGCTTCAATTTTTGACACGCCTATAGAATAAACATGAGTTTTCGTCAATATTGTCAAATCTGATCAATTCAATAGATTTGTATCAATTTTAACCCTCTCATATGTGGCTGATTCTTATACGGTGATGGCTGAACAAATGGGGCGTAAGACCAAATCAAAGGAATAAAAATAAGCTCTATATGTAGTAACTATGGGGAGAAAATAGCGATATATACTTAGTGAGTTATCGTTGTCGCTAGATCATAGGATCACCTACCTGATCCTCAACTGGTGGGTAATTCTTGCTTATTTTACGCCAGTCGATCGTGCAGGCCGCGGGCGGAGGACCTTTCGTCGGTGTTCGCTTCGTCGTCGTCGGACTTATCTTCTTACTTCCAAGCTCATCAACCTCTTCTTCTCCTTCTTCCTCTTCATTTCTCCTCTCTGACTCTTGGTCTCTCCCCTGCCTTTCTTCCTCCTTCTCATTATCATCGGATTCGTCCGGGCTGGTCCACCACTTCTTCACCGAGTGTTCGTCCCTCGGCATCCGGCGAGAGGTATACTTATTCAGGAACTCGTCACCTGTCGACCGATTCGCCATTTAAACCCATGGAAAAGGATCGATTATCGATTATCTTTATCGTCGATCCTTTATTATAGCTTCAGATGGGAAAAGTATCGATAGTCGATGATTAACGCTTCGGCATCGTACTTTTGGAGCGCATGCACGTCAATTGAGCCCAGGGACAACACTGCCGTGCTAAGGAAAAACGTCGTATGAACCTTATTAAAGCCGATCAGAGCGGAGCGGCATGCTGCCAGAGCGAGAGGCTCACTGGCGCCTACAAACCTAAGTGGATACTTCACGCATGGCACAGTGCTAGAAGTATCCACTTAGGTTTGTAGGCGCCAATGCGCGTTACGCGCTGGCCGCCCGCCCGCCGTGCGGCGGCGCGCTATTTCACAACAGAGGTGTTGCAGAGTATTATACGAAATTGAACGCATCAAGAATGACAGGCATCCTGGTAAATTACTGGAAAAAACAGGTGCGCGGACAAAAAATCATTGACGAAATGTCCTATAACCTATTCACCACTCGTTTTTTATTTCATTTCCTTAAGAGAACTAGCTGGCATTTTCTCTTAAAGTTGTCTCAAAATTGTGAGTTTAGGGTTATTTTGTGTTGTACTTTCCGTATCAACCGAATTTGTGTGTAGAAATTTCTCTCTGTGTAGAAGGAAGATGACAATGCAGGATCTGTAGAATATTTTGTTTCTGTTAGGGCAGTGTCTCGGAGGACGGAATCAGTTTACCGTGCCAAATCGCTAAAAAGAACAATCAGTAATTGCTTTAATTCAGGAGGAATTACGCACGTGGGATTTGCTTCATTCATAGTTCTTTTTCATTTTTCTTCCTTTAAACATGGTTCTTATGAATACGCCTAAATACCCGCTGAGTCCAAGAGGGAGGGAAATTATAAAGGGGTTTCTGATATGCCCTTGACAACGGGGAGAGGGGGAGGGAATAATACCATATATAACCTTAGGTTTTCAGTGAATTAAGCTGATTTAAAAGCAGTTAAGGCTCGATTTTTTTTTTACATGAAAAAAGAAAGGCCGCACTCGAAAAATGTCGTTATACAGTCATTGAACTTTCTTCTAATATTATCATTTGTAAAGGTTCATTTCAAAGTTCTCATTGCTATCGAACAGTTTAACGCACCGATGTATTTTGAGACCAAATTTGTAACTCATTTGTGGAAACTGGACAGACGATGGGGAAATCGCCATTCCAAAATCGCACTCCACGCGATCATGACCTTGTCTTCAGATATTGTATTGCATTCACCTGAATCAACAACTTGTAATCGGCTTTAATACCTACGTGTCAAGTCTGCCATTGGCGTGACACCGAATACTGCCGTATTTGTCTCATCAGCATTGAGTTCTTCAATCAACCGTAAATTGTCTCTGAAAATTTCGAGCCTCCTCATTTTTTCCTCCACAGAGTCGTAGAATTTACCATGCTCCACAATGAATCGTTCGAATTGCTCTGTTACAGATAGATCTTCAGTTTCACCCTGAAAGAGCACCAGTTTGTCAACTATTAATCTGAAATGATGCATTAAAATGAAGAGTGTGGGTTTCCTTGGCGTTTTCTATCAGGACAAGACTGTTAGCAATAAATTGAAGCTCTCATAGAAAACATCACAGGAAATATAACATAATACTTTAATAATGAATTTCGGTTAACGTTCATAAAAATCGTCCTGCTAATGTACTTTTTCGTTTTCCATTCAAATTATATGATTTTTCTTCAAAGAATATTAGCCGATCTTCAGCAGAAACGTTCTAGAATTTCAGGCTCCATTTTCAAAAAAAAAAAAAAAAAAAAAAATTGAGAAAATTCAGCTAGTAACATAGTTGAACAGTTTTCAAAGCAGGTCACTCAATACATCATGAGCCTCAACTTATTTGTTTAAGCTTTCAATATACATATTGTGAGCCTTATAGGACTCCAGTAATGAGGACTCACTGTGAGGAATGAAAATAAAGAATACAGCACTGAAATTTATGGTCCTTTCATTTACTACGATTCTAAAATTACCTAAACTTAAAAAAAAATGTGAAGGATTGACGGAGGATGCATCACGCGATTATACTATAGAAGTTTTCAAAGTCTAATAAACTGGTTTATTTTCTGACAGCAACGAACAAATTGACTTATCAAGGGCACTGGTCCATGAAATAGGTAACAAATTACAAATATTTAAATACGTACGCTTGATTTTGCCACCACTTTCTTGAATGTGAATTCCAATTCAGCCATCCATAAAATCTACATTTAAACCAAAAACGTGGATCTACTAAGGCATGCAATGAATCGATATCCACTGAGAATTTATTTATATACAGATACATTAAATGAAAAGAAGAGACTGAAACTAAGAATGCACTATTTTAAGGTCGCATCTTATTCTAAAACTCCAATTATTACTTCAGATTGTTTCTAGTTTTGAACGTATATGCTTCAGTAACGACTATTATTTTTAAATAGGTCAGTCGGAAGCAAAACATACAGCGAAATGAATTAGCCTCCCATCAGTAAAATCGCACAAAATTTCATTACGCACATGAAAAAATTCTGAAATCCACTCCTCAGCGCCCAATCTACGTAGTTTGGAACGCATCCCTCTTCAAATTTCCCGCGTCCGCTGGTAGTTTTTCTTGGTGTCCGCCAACTAGGTTTTCCTAGGGAGAGAGAGTGGCGCAAGAGAATCTAACTAAGGAAAAGAGACGATTTCACGAACTCATTTGAATGTTGTAAATTAATTGTTATCCATTTTTCCTACTAATGGTTTTTATTTATTTAAAGCTTACTTTCTGGCAAGACGAAGAAATTAGGAGGAAAAAACGCTTGAAAAGGATTGAAATCATACGCAAGAAAAAGTTTGCAAGATTGCGAAGTTTGCGCGTAAAAAATACGCGTAACAAACTGCGCGCTATTGCGCGCTAAAAAGTGGATCTCATAATTTTTTGATGTGCCTATGGTAGTTTTCGTGTAATTTTACCTAAGGAGAGCTTACTCACTCCGTTGTCTGTCGTGTGCATCAGACCTATTAAATACAGTAAAACCTCAATTATCCGGTGTGTATGTTGTATTAAGAGACAGAACTAGCTTCAAAATCGTCAGCCAAGATTTTTGGGCGATATTTGACACAAATCCTCAAATTGATAAATATTGCCGCACGCCGGATGTTCTTGGCCTGGCATTAAAAATTTCAGGTGAAATAGCAATATGCGAAACTTCCATACCGCAATATATTGAAATCTATGCTCATTCTTTAACAGTCATAAAATGCCAAACATTGTGTAAATGAATTTTACTTCCATTTGAAATTTCAATACTTACAAGACGCAGAAAGAATATAGTTGAACAGCGTGTGATCATAGCTGATATGAGGAATTCCAGGATCACACTTAGACAATTTTCTGAATTCGATCAGTCTTATTCGCTTTCAACTCTTGAGGTCATACGAGTAGCGATGACTAGTAACTGCGGATAATCTCAAAGAAAAATTATTGAATTCTGCCTCGCGAATGACCAGTTGCCAAATTTTGCGAGCGTTTTTGTTTCCTCCTTTGCGCGGAGCGAAAACCATATTGGTGCCCTACTACAATGGATTTAATATTTTTCATCAGATTTACAGGATACACAGCCCAATCGTTTCTGCGGAAGGGCATACGAAAAATAATGCAAAAGATTAAAGAAAATATAAAAAAGCATAAGTTCATATAAAAAATATGAACTAAATTTTATCATTAAAAATCAATTATAGACTCCTTAAAACGAGAACTTTCGATTTAAGAAACACCTGGAAGCATTTTACCACCATATAAGGAATGGGCGCGAATCAGAAACAAGGTTCTGTCTCTGTGTTTGTTTACAATTGAACCAAGGGTTCGATATTATATCGAATGACGTAGCCACTAAACCAGTCTATTAGGAACTAACTTGATCGTTTACTTGAGTGTGAATAACATCTACAGGAAACAGAGAAACTATCAAGATAGCATATTAGGGGGGTTGAGGGGAGATCTCCTATCAAATATAGAACAGTGATGAGGAACTTGAGTCTTGATGGGGGAAAAAGTTGAAAAAATATGTCAGAAATTGGGCAACGAGGATTCTCGTCGGGGAGTAAACCCCGTTGCAAGTCCAATTGATCTAGGCGGTGTTAATTAATGGACAGCGAACAAACAAGAAGAACATGAACTACCGTGCTAAGGAAGAACGCAGTAAGAACATTCGAGAGTTGCCAAATTTCCTTCGCTAAAATATTTATTTTTGAAGATAATTATGAATATTTTTCCTTGAAATTTTCGGACATCTTAGATCAAATTACAAACAAAATTATCTGAGAAATTGGTAGACAAACATTTAAAAATTTTGCTGAAAATTAGTGATTTGCCGGAGGAAATTTGGCTACGCCTGAGGCTTATACGGCGTTTTTCCTTAGCACGGCAGTGAAAGTTTGCACTCGACAAATCCGTGCATAATGAGAGGATGCTGGGAGTTGAGGTGAATTTGGTGCTTTTTATGAGAGACTAAAGCATAAATCTCCTTGATTGATCCGTGAGCATGCGCTGCAATAGAAAGATTTAGTAGCTACTTTATCCGACACGTATGCTATGGAGGGTATGGATTCGATCGTTGTGAATCGATCGAAACGTGAAAACGTGAATCGATCGACAAATTATTTTTAAAAAATCGGTGTCGATTCGATCGACATGAATCGATCGACTTTCATGTTTGTCGAACGATTCACGGGCTGGTTGATTGATTCACGGGTTGGTCGATCGATTCACGGTTGTCGATCGGTTGACGTTTTGGTTTTTCGATCGATTCATGTCGATCGAATCGACACCGGCTATTTAATAATTTGTTGATCGAATCAGTGTCGATCGATTCACGCTTTCATTTTCCGATCGATTTATGTCGATCGAATCCGTACCCTCCTATCGCTGTATCGCTGAATGACGTTCATGATTTTTCCATCCAAACCATGCAGACCCCAGACACAGTTTTAGTTTGACTTTCGGTGTAACCCTTTCGAATGAGGACTCCAACTTGCGTTGCGAGAAAAACAAGGGGACGGAACTAAGAATGCGGAGTTTTCCGTTTTCGCGGCGAGGGGTAGAAGCGGAAGCTATTCGGTCGGACAGAGATATGCGAAGCGAGGAACGGCAAGTGACACGGTGAAATAATGCATAACTTGGCGCGCGGAATCCAAGAACGAATCCCAAGGTAAAAAAGCGAACTCGGCTGACCTCTCACTCGATTATTTACACAAGGAAGACTTAGAATCGGTCCTTCTTAACTTTCGACTTAACCGGATGGGGTGCGGTGGTGTTTTATCAGACGGAAAAGCGCCCCCCGCCCTAACTCCGTTATCATATCCAGCGCACCCCCGCACAGTGGAACAAGCCAATAGAACAAATCGCACATGAAATAATTGGCTGAAATTTCAAAATGTTATGTCTATTCCGTCACAAATTCAATTCCAATGGGTGTTTCTGAAAAGGTATTTCGCGAAAAAACCAATAAAACCACTTTTTAACTTTTTTCTTGGATATTTTCGAAAATATAAGATTCAAAATTTCCAGATTTTGTCTCAACTCTCGTACTGACTTGGTCCAGTGTGCGCTGCTCGCCGGGTAGACTATCTTTCCAGTTAACTGACTCGTTTCTGTCACTGGAAATACGGCTGCGTGCCGTCTACGACTGAAAAGCTCCGACTTCAAAACAAACCCCGAGGAACATCAGGTGTGATCGTTGTACGGCGGGCGTCCGTTGGTTTTGCGTCGGGTTCTACTGTTCGGAGCAGACCTGTTGTTCGGGAAAACTGTGTCAAGACACACGAATGATCGTGGAATTCGCTCGAGTCGTCGGAAAGTTTTTCCGCGCAGAGCTGCGTTTCGCTTGCTGCTAGATTGTGATCCTGATAATTTTATCAGGACCGTGCATGACCGTGGCTTTGGAATTTTAGCGCTTTACTGCCATGCTCAGTAAGAACGCCGTATGAGCGTTCCAATATTGCCTAATTTCCTCTCAGAAAATGATTATTATTTGAAGAAAGTTATGCGTATTTTTCCTTAGAATTTTCTGATTTCTTAGATGTGATTACGAAGGAAATCTTTGAAAAAATCGGAAGAGGAATATCCACAAATTTTCACGAGAAGTGATTCGCCGAAGGAAATTTAGCAAAGCCTGATCTACCACACTAAGGAAAACGGCGTATGAACATTCAGGAGTTGCCAAATTTCCCTCCGTAAAACATGCATTTTAGAGGACATTCATAAATATTTTTCCTTGAAATTTCCAGATATTTGGTGTATTCAGATTAAACTGTGTAAAAAATTGTCTGAAAATTTTGGGGGAAAATTTCACAATTTGCCCAGTGAGGTCGGTTTGCATTGAAGGAGACTTGGCAACATTTAAAGGTTCATACGGGGTTCTTCCTTATCGCGGTAGAGATGGCCCATACGGCATTTTTCCTCAGCACGGCAGTTTAGTGACGTCTCAAATTCATAAACTTGAAATAGGAGGACGAACGTCTCATGCTTGCACGTACCTTGCGAAAAAAAGAGAGAGAAAAAAAAGCATTTTTCAATTCTAACAAATTATTATTCGTCTTGGCTTCACGTTTTTACCGGTTATAATGGTTACAAATGATGCTTAAGATAGTCTCGTGGAGGAAACGTGGAAGAGGAATTAAAAAATCACTCAAATCAGTCCATCCCACCCGCGGGCCTCCCCTCAGAGCGACGCTCTTTTTCGCTGCGACTTTGACTCGTCACCGAAAGAGCATGAGACACGAGACAGAATTTTTATGAGCTGCGGACACGGGCCCCGGAGGCGGGCGAGAAGGGGGGCGGGTGGAGGTGCCTCGTGTTCATCTGTTACGGGAGACGCTGAACAGAGCCCGCGGCGTCTTGCGGGTTGCGTCGTCGGCGCGCCACGGCGCATCGGAAGACGCCGCAAAAAAGTTTCTCCTCCCCGCCCGGCCCCGGCGTTTTTTTTCTCACGATAATTATTTTCAGCGCCCGCTATTATACAATTTCCTTTCGCGCGCCAGAAATATTAAAACCGTAATGCGAGCCGACGCTCCTGTCGCAGGGTTGCCGATTCGAGCGGCAAAAACGCCATGTTGTGGCTGTCGATGGGGAGAGAGGACCCTACACCTGGAGATGGATGACTGGATGGGGGTCCTAGGCAAGGTATAAATTGGATTGCATTTTGCAAAAAGGAACCAGGAACATGCCAATGTCGCTATGATTGTGCAACTTCTGTTACCTTGCAAACATAAACTGATCGTCTAAACAAGTTTTATCTTCACTCCCAATGAACTATGAATTCAAGACGAAAATTACCTTTGCAAATTTAATTTTTGCATGATCTCAGAGGTTTAACGGCGAAGAATGTAAGTTGGAATGATCTTGGTTCCCTTTTGCAAAATGCAATCCAATTAAAGCACTGCCCAACTTATTTTGTCTTCAAAATTTCAGAAGAGAGCTAATCACGGAATGGGAAGTTTGAATGTAATCCCTGAAACAAGATATTAACGTTTACACTTATGTTATATGGCATAGGTACAAATTACGTTATTTGTTGATTTGTGTTCAAAATACTTGTTGATTTCTCGCTTAGGTATTGATTTCCGAACTTCCTGTCATGTGAATCGTTTTATACGTACGATTTTTAAGCGAAAACATGTGAGGTGTCCTCCTAGTTCAGACCTTGTTTGGGCGTTCGTTGTTCATTTCAGTCGAATTCCATTGTTGGGAGGGAGTCTCTTACATTGGCGCAACTTTGGTTTAATCAGTTGTAGGTTTTTATTGATGTCAAAGGCAACCTAACTCCGAGGCTGCGTATTACAAAATGTTGTAAAAATAACGATGGTTAGTTACCCTCAAAAAATATCATACTGGACAGAAAATCCGCAATGTTACCGGCCGAGCTGAGCTACTTTGCGGTCTCATCATACATGCACAACTGGTGCTTATCTTACAACTTTAAAATGTACCATCCGCGCTTGTTAGATCGATCAGAGCGCAAGAGAGGAGCAAGTGCCTTCAATTTTTGGGTATGCAACACAGATCATCGCTGAGCTTGAATAGTTGCATCTTAAGGTTGCTACGTTGATCAATGCTCTTACTGAAGGCGCCAAGAACACGTTACGGCCTCTAAAACTATTATATTTACTCTGAAGATATTCATCACTGGTCCCCGGCCCGGAGCTTTTCTTCAGTAAATAATGATGATCGAGGGAGGATTAAAAATTCACTATCACCTGAAACCATATCAAGGCTATTCAAACAGGTAAGCAGTGAAGCTAAACCAAAAATCATCGTAAATGGATATTTGTGAGATATTTAATCGACCCAAATGAAACCGAAAATAGAACAATGGATATCTTAAAGTCGAAATACTCGGTTTTTGGATTTTGCATAAGTAATTTCTAAGCAGTAGTAAAATTAAAC